GTCGGTCGTCGGACCCAACTTCTTGAAATTCGAACGCGGTAATCACAGCACTCCAGTAACAGCCAGATGAAAACAGTTGAAAAATATAGGCACTTAATTCGAGACTTGTTTCATTTCAATCAATTACACGGGTGATAGTTCAAGTCAAACACATACGGAGATGCTTTACGATGTGCAAAGATACGTACTCAGACAGATTACAGTCATGACACGGACAATAAACGTGGTTAAAAATCGTGCTACGCAGCAATGGCTTTAGGTTAGCATAAACATAGGAAAGAGCGTCTTACTAAAAATGCATTTCATACATTTTAGCATACCTCGAGTTCATAGTTTATGTGACACAACATTATTATTGAAATATTATAAATGTCAGTTTGTATGTTTGGACGTTGGATAACGACTGCGCTGAGCGTATTTGAAGTCGTCCTCAGAGTCGTATTTGGTTTCAATTTTTATATTTTGTGATTGTCAAATGTCTATACAAAAAAAAAATAGAACATTGGATTGGTATATTTGCAACCTTTGTGGGCGATTCGAATCTAGTTAATTATATTTCAAACCAATAATTTCATATGGTTACTACAAGAACAATTGTACCTATATACCATGTATAACAGAAAAATACTCACTTTACACCCATATGAATGTAGCGAAATAGCCAAGCCACATATTTTGAATAAGGTATACAGTTGGTGAAGTTAGGTCTTGCAGAGTTACGGCGTGAAGAGTTAAAAGCTTGGCTTTTCATGATCTGATAACTTTTTGACAGTGCGAGTCATATGGTCTCGTCTAGGCAACACCTTACATGAGCATGTTTTTGGTGGGATTATTTTGATCGTGAACGTTGTGTCGTTGATCACATCTGAAATTTACTAATGGCTGGCTCTACAATTTACTAAGCCACTTACCAAGCGCTTCATTAACTTAATCCCTTTGGCATACGCCATGTGTCTAGTTTATTTGGTCATACTATTTTACGCAGTTCGCAAATTAATACTTTGTCAGACTTCCTTGCCCAGAGATAAAATTTGTTCTAAAAGAAAAAATATGCAAAAACAATAAAATTATAATAAAGAGTATTTTATGCTTATAACTGTTATTTGAGGCATAGAGTTGACGTTCACAACGTGATTTTCGTGTATTTCTAGGAATATCCTGAAATCTCAGGTTTCCTCATTTCCCTGCGATCTACATATTTTTTTTCAAATAACTACCATAATGAAAGGTGATGATAGATTAACGAGAACTGACATTGACCTAATTAAATGAATTAACAACTTTAAAGTACTTATCTCGGAAGTTTAAACAGTGCTTAATCATTTAATAGGATTACCTGTTTATTCTCTGATCTTGTTCCTCTAAAATGTCAAGTGATATTATTTTAATACCTACTTTGAATTAAGAATTTTAAAGGATCTCATAACTTGCCCTTTAAAGGATTCCTTTAATTACAAAGTCTAGTTGTGGCTGAAGATCGTAAATATCTTTCTAATGTCCAATTAAAAGGTATCGTGACAGGTGTTGTAGTTAGACAATTAGGAGGCAGGTGTTTCATGAAACCATTGAATTCTTAAGTCCACGTAGGCGCTGAATAAAGTTAAATAGTTTTATTAAGCATGTGGTCTGAGGCCATTGGGTTTGTAATTAATGTATAGTGCCTCGTGTATTCTTGAAACCTCGTTTTGCACATCATATTCGTTCTGTTTTTGCATGCATAGGTTCGGGAACATTGTGATGTACATAGTTTGATAAACTATAATTAACTAGAGATATTAATGGGTTCAATGGTTCATTTAAAGAAACCGATAGCCTTGCCATATGTATGAACTAAAAAGTAAAAAACGTTATAAAAACTACTAAAATTTTTTATAAATTAAAAAGTATTTCATAAAATTGTTTGTGTATCCTATCTACGTTAAATTATATAGATTTGTAACGTGTTCATCAAAACCTTTGATTAAACGTAGGTTTCATCATACTTAATTATCATTGAAGAAAGGAAAACCTACGTTTTTTTTTCAAATTGGGATGATATTAATCGACTAAATAGAATATTTACAGATTCTATCGAGGTATCGATTCTCTTGATCGACATGAAAAAAACCTACATAATATTAAAGGAAAACATAACCCTCCTTCAGACGCAGTCGGTTAAAAAGCTGCTTTTACTTAACTAAAATATGCTGCTGCACGTTAATTGTCATTTCAATATAACATAATTGAGTTGCAGCATTACATAATTACTTAATATTACAAAGCTAAAGATTTTGTTTGTTTGGTTTAACACGCTAATCTCAGGAACTACTGGTCCGATTTAAAAAATAATGAATAGTGCATTTTTCGAAGAAGGCTATATAACATAACACTAAGACTAATAGGGGCGGAGCACCAATGAAAGATTTTATTAAAACTGTAAAAAATATTCTATTTGAGAGCTTCCGTTGCGTGCGCTGCGTAAACGGTAAAAGATGCACAACAATCATGTATGACGGAATTGTTCCCCTATAAAAGTTCTATAAAAAAGTCGGCGACAGCATTGTCTGTCTTTTAAAGGTAACAAACCATACCCTTCTTATTAAAAATAATGCGGGTGAAACCGCAGGGTACCTCTTGTTTCATATAATATCTACACATAAGGAGCTTAAGGATCAAAATCCAGAGGCAGTGGTTATCATTCAGTGCACGGTCGTGTTGTACACTGGTAACTACATTACATTGAGCTTAATTCCTAGATCCAATCTTAGTACGGTAATTGAATTGGAATAGCACTTAGACAGAGCAGACATCCTGTCAAGATTATATCAATTACGAATATGTAACTTAAAAATATATAGCTATCGTTGTAACGATCCAGTATATTAAACAATAACAAGCTTTTAGTGCCTTTCACGCTGACCTACCAGAGAAACAATACGTAATACCTTAAGAAAAGTTTACTAGAAAATATTCCACGCGGACCAGGCAGCATACGGTATTCGAACCCGCACCCTTCGCATTTGTGGGTTTTGACAATGCGAAGAGATGGCGCTGCCTTGCAGCCTTGCAGGCTAGGAAAAATTCGACACGGCCGTCAGGGCCGCGGTAGCATAATGGATAATTATCACCAATTAATATAAAAAAAGTCTTCAAAATCTACTGGACGGACTTTCATGGGGATTTCATGTTGCCGCATATTATATTAGGAGACAAAATGTTTTGACTAAGAAACTGTAACTAGATATTCTACTGCTTCTGCTGTTCTGTCATAGCGTGATCAAAAATACAAACTCTTGGAATCATGGGGACACATGTTATAGCGCAAACATGCCATGTTTATTGACATACAAAGTTGTGGGTCGTTATTTCGCTGCGTGATATATTCGCACTCAAGTTGTTTACACCGGAGATAAAACTAAGAGTAGGGAGTGCCCGAAACTATATTGAAGTGCAAAGTAGAGTAAGTAGTGGTAGGAATCTTATAAAGGAAACCGCATATTCGACAAATTGAGAAAATAAGCCGTACTATCGTGCTGCAAAGAAAGTGTGAGGGGAAGATAAACGAACCCTTTGTGTCAAACATATAAACAAGTTACTTTTGAAAATCATATTAAAAGCAATGGCATAGAGGTAGGATGTTTTATTAGTTAGGAATTTCACTGAAGTCGATCTTACATACAGAGTGTTTGGTGATACCCTTACAATAATAATTGACATAGAAGGAATGTTAAAATAGCAACAATATGTATTCGGTAGGTCCTACTTTTACCAATAAGCCCGAACATGTATTAGGATGAGAAAGATATTGCACCCTTTTCTTTGGTAATTTCTAAAGTTGGACTCGCTGCAGCTTACTGTATCAATGAGTATTTATTCTGCTTGTAATGTATCATTATCTACTTTATCTTCTCGTTCTTTAAGTTTTAGCGTGGAAAAAGAAGTGACATCTCACTTAAAACAATGTATATTCACCTACATTCAATGCTTTACCTACCTTGCAATGATTACCGGCATTAATGAACGTATGTTTTGAAAGTACCTTTTCGTCTCAACGCTTTTGTTATAAAGCAGGTTTACGTCCTTTAAACCATATGTGTGGTTTGATAAGCAACCTGATTTCCCTTTGAGGAGATTAGTCGGTCCGTAGCGCCCACCGAGCCTCGTCGAGTGAGCATTCAGCGTGGCGAGTCAACCGTGTGTCCTTATGGGTGAGCAAATTTACTTGGGAAATGTTCGTTGATTTGACATGAGCGTCGTGTCGGTTCGTGTCGGTATATAAAATGATCGTGTGTTGGAGTTGATTTCAACCATCGTTTTTCTAGAGCTCTCATGTTAGATTGATCGTGAGAAAAAGAGTATAATTTATTTTATGGAACAAGATTATGTTGGATGCTTCTGTAGCTTATAGGATGTATACAGATAGTTATATGGAGATATGTTATAAAATACACACTATTTTGATCCTCTACCACAATTATTTTTTGTATGTATCTACGTATGGTGTATGTATATGTAATTACTAATAAATTATACTAGCTAATTACACCGCCATCTCTCCCACTTCCTTCTAATCCTCTCCATCCAAGGGTTGCTTGGAAAAGATCGCTTTTAGCGATAGGGCCGCCAATTGCATCACTCCTACTCGATGGTTCTGTACTTAATGTTCAATGGTTTTCGTAGTGTATAATAAAGAGTTTTTGTATTGTATTGTATTATTGTAATAAGTGCTACCAGTACCAAATGCAGTGTTCTTCGTTGGAAGGGTTAGGTAAAGTATAGGATGTTTTAAATAACTATTTGTAAATGTAATCGTTCTGTCAATTGCTTTACATACAAAGTGTGATATATAAATTATTATCTAATTGACAAAGTACTCAACGAATCCAGATTAGAAACATTGAACGAGACAGATAAACAGAAAACAATTTTACATAATAAGTTATATCGAAAAAAAAACTTTTTATTAAAAATATTTGTTAAAAGTGAGTATCGAGGAAAAAGTTTCTATATTCTGCACTAACCTTGTTTTGGGCTTCCTCGGTAAAGCAGTTAATCTACCATGCAGCGATCTGTAAAGATGAAAGAATACATTAAAAAGATATATAGGATGAACATCACCAATCTATTCATGCTCGCACTACTGAAGTGCATCATGCATCTCTGGAAAAGAGAATAGGCACTTCCAATATAAACCCAAAAATATCAAGGCAGCCTGGTCGAGTGCCAATTAATCATTCCAACGTCTTAGTAACGGGTAGCGTAATTAATTCCCTCGTCCCTTCCCCTTAGCCAAACAGAGGAGTTAATGTTGTATGTACAGCCAACGGCATATCGGGTTACTCCACTCTCAAGTTTATTTTTTTGGAAAAATATTATTTGTGGAAAGAGTTCAAAATTGTAATAATTACATATATGTAGTATTAAAGTAACGTCAAGTACTAAACGTTTCTGCAATTTTTAATTTGATTTAAGTATATACGGTAGGCACTTTCGGGATGGGGAAAGCAGATGCCCACAATCTCCATTATATAGGTAATTAGGTGTGTGAGTATAGTATTAAATTTTATATAATTGATATATGATAAACAGCAAGAAATGAAAATTTTTATTACATAAATAAAAATATGTTTTAACTTCTGACGTGCAGTTCTACGACTCTCATTTTAATTACAAAGAAGACCTAGAGTACTAAATCACTCGACTGCATTATACCAGCCTGAATTACAATACACATACCTAACGTTTTGTTTTTGTCACAAACTTTCTTCAATTTAACTTTATTATCATTGAAGACGCAATTACTGAAAGACGTGACACATGATTTTGCATGGAGGAAATTTACTTCAAGTTTTATAATTGAGTTACGGGAGTGTGTGACTGCGTAAGTTAATTTAAGTTAATAAACTTAGTGTACGTGTACGGGCAGTGAATTAATGCAGTTTAAGGGTCTGCTTACAGAACATTTAAAACGGAAATTTTGAACGGATGGAAATTTAAAAGTTGATTCACCACTCAAAGAACTTGGGAGTAGTTTTATATAGTATTTTATTTTTTATATGAATAAAGTAAGCGCATTGTCGGTAGAACCCTCGGGATGCGGAAAGTAAAGGTTCGTTATGTATGGAAATCCCCAGAGGAGGCCTATGTCCAACAGTGGACGTCCATCGGCTCAATATGTTGATATGGAAAAAGGTTGGTAAACAAATATAATTATGGCCAGCCTGGTGGTAAGTGGTCGTCATAGCCTAAAGACGCCATTAGGCATATCGGCCAGATGGCCGGAATTTCCGGGATTGTCCCGGAATTTTGCGTATTGCCCCGTGTCCAGTAATTAGACCTTATTCGTCCCGGATTCCATGTGCTAGTTTCTTCACAAATCAAAATAATAACGAATGACATCTGCTTGATGTTTTGATGATTTATTTTTTAGGGATTGATAAGCCAGCATCTGGCAAACACCTGCACCTAACACAATGGAGTTCTGAATACTTTCATTACGACGGGAAAAAACAAAACAGTGTTATTGGGTTTCTATTATTTGCGGAAAGGTGGAAGGTGCTCCCCCAGAAGTGCGCTCCAAAATCAGCGGAAAATCAACTAAGGTTATACCACCAAGGATACAACCTGACCATGTGTTACTATATATCATAATCCGCTTCTATTATTATTAATACACAGCTATGTGTTAAATATGTACGCATTTTCGATACTCTTATCTAATTTATATTCGCGGATTCAAAAGCCCTGATTTTAAAGATCTTCAGATTTCAAGAATTATAGTATTCATATTATATTTTGTTGAAATATTTGATTAATTCTAGGTAATGATACTCGTATTATAAATGTGAAATTTTGTATGTTTGTGTCTTTGTTACTCAATCACGCAAATACCCATGAACGGATTTAAAAGATAGCTTATTGCCTAAATTGAGGTATAGGACACTTTTTCCGTGATAAATATACTACTGTGAGAAGAATGAATATATCTACATGAAGTTTAGTAGGTAGATATAGTCATAACATTATTTCGAGGTAAACGATAACTCGCAAATGTAGCATTTTATTTTAGACTAATTCCATTGGTAATGCAAATGAAGTCACTGGTAAAAGTTGATATCTGATTATTATAGAAACTCATTGCTCGAAATATACCATTCTTGTATATCATATATTTTTTATATTTGAAGACCTATGAAGGAATCCATTGTGATATAATATTATGTTATCAACCTATCTAACACCATATAAAATACCCGGAATATACTATATTACTCGTATAAAGGTTACTCGTAACTAAAAAGGTTCTATAGGGATTTTAAACTAACATAAAATCGGAGGCCACGGATAGAAAATGATACACCCCACCCCCTCACTCGCCCCCTGAAACGGCAAAGTCAAACAATGGGCCCCGCACCACACCATGTGCTTCAGCCTTAATTAGACCTCCTCCGGGTATAAGGTTGCTAACATTATAAATAAAGAAGTAGGCAAAATTTAACTTAGCTCCGCTTTCAAAGGTAAAACGAGGTCTTTGCATTACAATCACGAAGTCTCTAGCGGGAATCCACGAACCGATATGGCGCGAGTGGTTTTAAACAACATTTAAACCTTCCTATTTTACTGTAAAGACAATCTTTTCTTTTTGATTTAATAAAATTGGTGTTCTATGTTAGTTATTGTTATGATTAATTGTGATGGAAATTAAGACCTAGATTATTTCATTAGAGAAAATACAAGTTACATGGAAACAACCCCGCTTATTACTCTTATGTTAGTAACTGTAAAAGTTTAAAACAAAATTCGATTTTTTCTTTACTAATATTGTCATCAATAGACCAGGGTGTCGACCCCTGGGATTGTCAGCACTTCGAGTGCTGAACATCGTTCAGCGGTCCTTTTCAGGACCAGGGTTGGGAGCATCACCCCACAGTGAGTCTGATCATTGTGATTGGCGATAGATGCTCAAAAGGCCCTTCTTAGGGCCAAGGGGGGCGGGAGAGGGACGGAGAGAACTACGCTCTCCCTCCCACTTCAGTGAGAGCCGCGGGTTTACCCTGGGGGGGGGGGGGGACCGGCCCGCATTGCACAAGCTCTCTTGATGCTGATGCCCCTGATACTCCGGGGCATCTTCACCGGGGTGGGTCCGTTCGCGGACAATCACCTTGCGGGTGCGCGGACAGTCGGCGACGGTTGCCGTAACTACACCCGCACTCCCGGCGTGCATTGGGGTGACTGCGGCCTCAGAATGTACGCCGGGTGACCGGTGCAGAAGTATTGTCTGGTTTTTAGTGGCCCTATTCAGGGCGTTAGGTAGGGCCCTGCTCATTTCACCCGGCCTAAGGGCTGGCTAAAATGAGCAGGGAGCAGTCCCACATACCTTCCTCTCGCTCCCCCGGTGGTTGAAGGAGCGTAAGGCATTTCCCAGACAAAAAAAAGGACCACTGTCGATACTGCGAACATAATAGTCTTTTCAAAACAGTTAGTTCCAATGAAAAATGAGCATGGTTCTGTGTTTCCCATAATTTTCATACCCTAACATTTCAACCTATTCCAACGCGAAAAAGTAACCTATGTCCCTCCTCGAGGTTCCCTTCATCTACATACATTCATTAAAATCAGTTAAGCGGTTCAGTGTTCGTTTTCTCAGAAGCAGAATTGTGCGGAGTGGAGCTGAGCGGAGCCGTGTAAAAAGGTAAGTGTTTTGATTGCAGCTGTGTGAAGATGAGTCGTGCAGAGCTCGATGGTGCAGGTGGTTGGCACGTAAAGCCTGCGATTTTGGAAGTTTAGTAACTCTCGCAATAGCCGGTCATTTGATGGGTGACCAAAAACTTATTATCTTAGATTCTTCTGTGCATCGGAAGGCACGTTAGGCCGTTGCTCCAGGTTTCATCTGTAGTCGCAAGCACCCATCAATTTTCACTAGGCCTGCGTAATCGAACGGCCCAATTTCCCTATTCCATCCATAGGGAAGGACTATGGCCCAGTAGTGGGGATATAAATACGCTGTTATTGACTTTACTACGTAAATACCTTGTCTTTATTTCGTAGCATATAGGTAAGTACGATATTCGCAGTGCAACTGTGTCAATTATAATAACTTAATTGTAGCAATTGACAGGTCAATTACGAAGATCAAATCTATAACAGATATTAGGCTATTAAAATACATCTCTATTATAACTATGCTAATGTTATTTTTCTCACAGTTTAGTTGTTCTTTAGATTTTTTTCAATGTTTCAGTTTTATATGTTCAATATTATTGTTAGCCTAGATTTGCTTTTAGTTTGAGATAAGAAAGTTCCGATATGTTTCTATTAAACCTCTAAGTAATCGCAAGCATTATTGGCATTTTCTATTAAAGCAGCAAGTTGTCAGTTAAACTTCATCATTTGGCACTTTGAACTACATTAGTTGTGAAAGTGGCATTAGCCCTACATAATACACATACTTACTTACATCTATTTTTACTTAAACAAATTCGCCTCTGATATCTGTACGCTTATATCTTTTAAACTGCGCGTCGGATTACAATGCAGTATTGAGAAATAGATAGAGGAGTGATTCAAAAGGAAAGTTTAAATATGAATACATGCCCGAGAAGAAACAACCCAAAATCCTTTATTCAGTCTAGGCTGTTAGAAGTTTTTTTAGGCATTATAAAGCTATGCCATTTGTTTACAAGTCCATGGCCGGAGCTTGTACTAGAAGGAATGATAAAGAGCTCAGCAAGGGATTTTTCTCACTCTTTAATGTCTTTTTGACGTGATAACGTCTTATAAATCGATTAACAACGGCTGCACGCACGAGAAAGTGTGACGTCATGTCACGAGTCACGTTCTGCAACGTTATGTTACGTTAGTTCACTGTTCCGCGGTGTGTGTAAGATGAGGTTGAAGAATTCCTTCGCCCATCACCCCTACTTATTTCAAAGGAAATATGAGTTTCTGCGGTAAAATATTAGATTAATATAATAAGAAATCATCGAAAATCTCATACACCAAAATGGACAGTTCAATATGTAAATGATTTGCTCTTGCTCAATGAACTGCTCAACAATTTTTTTCGCCT